AGACGCCCCTCCCCCGCCCCCGCGCACCCCCCAGCCCCGTTCCTAGGTGGGGAGAACTCAGGTAGGTAAGGCCGTGTCCTTGCGTGACCTTGTTAGTCATGGCAGCCAACTAATCGTGCTGTGCACCAGCTCCGCAGTTTGTACCCACAAAGTTCAGTACGCATCACAAAGGGAGAGCATCACAATCCCCATGTCGCAGGTAGGGAAACTGAGGCACAGAAAGGAGCGCCCCAGGCCTGCCTCCCGATGCCCTGCTCTGACCACTAGGCCTGCTGAAGTGTGTGGCAGGGTCCAGGCTTGGTCCCTTAACAGAAAACGAGTGAGGTGTAAGTTGGGCAAAGCCGTGCAGGTGGGGGTGAGGTGAAGGAGAGCTGGTCGGAGCTGGCGTTGGGAGGTCTGGGGAGGGTCTCCAAGCCTGCGGGGCGACCGTGGCGTTACAGGGCACTGTCTGTCTCCGTTCAGGGAAAAACCGTAAACCCCAAGGCCAGACTAACACGGCCACCCCTCTGACCCTTCCAGGAATAAAGACTCCACTGGCGGCAACATCGCGGTCATGGGAAAGGATTATTACAAGACCTTGGGGCTCCAGTCGGGGGCAAACGAAGATGAGATCAAGAAAGCGTATCGGAAGATGGCCCTGAAGTACCACCCCGATAAGAACAAAGACCCCAGTGCGGAGGAGAAGTTCAAGGAGATTGCTGAGGCCTACGACGTCCTGAGCGACCCCAAGAAAAGGGCCGTCTACGACCAGTATGGGGAAGAAGGTAAGGGCCTGGCGGGGTAGGGCCTGGGGAGCCGGTGGCGGGTAAGTACCGAGTTAGCAGCACGGGTTGAATTGTGCTTCTGTCAGCAAGAAAGCGCTTCTGCGTTAAACACCAGAGCAGCGAATATTCACGGGCGTGGGCGCGGTGTCCGGAATTAGCCCCATGATTCATCCCAGCCTCGGAAACCAGGTCACTACTACCGAAGCTGGGAGAACAGGGCACCCAGCGGTGCCACCTCTCCTCCGAGCCAGAGTTGCTTGGCCCAATTCTCTCTGGGGCTGGTCGCAGCCAGCTGTCAGCCTGCGATCCCAACTCCCGGGCCCCGTCTGGCGCCCCAGCCCTCGTGGGACGGAGAAGCCGGTTGGGGCGGAAGAAGGCTGCCCGGGGAGCTAAGTGAAGGCCGTCGTACCGCTCGGGAACGAAATGGGCGCCCCTTTGCTTTGCGCCCCGTTATACCGAAGGCTGACTCGCCCCGAGAGCGTGGGGATGGAAGGGGTCTCTCCTCCCGCAGAATCCCTCTCCGACTGCCCCTTGGCGCACATTCTCCAGCTACACTCTCTCTCCCTGGGGCTCAGGGTGTCTGTGCCTGAGCTCACACTGCCTTCCTGTCCTTTGTTCTTGCTGCTTGCGGGTACAAGCTGACCTACATGCCTCGCAGCCTTTCCCGGTTTCAGAGGCTTGTTTAGAAGCCAAGAGGCTGCCTGTTGTCTCCGTGCTGGGAGCTGTTCCACCGCGTGCAGCCTTATTAGTAGAACTTGGCCGCTTCTGCCACCCTATTTGCCGAGGCCGAAGGGAGCAGGGAATAGCATTTGCATTAATCAGCGCACGAGTGTAGCACTTAAAAGAGCCCAGGTCTGGTGTAAACCGGCTGCTCAGCTGGCAGGAGGCTTCGTGGGCAGCTTTCCCGAGGCATTGCCGTAGAAGCGCAGGGGCCGAGGGCCTAGTGCGCCTCGGGGGCAGGAGGGGACGTCTCGCAGCGAGCCCCCAGCGTCTCGGCTCCTCGCGTGGTGCTGCTGGAATGGCCGGCGGCAGGAGTCTCCGGGTCCCCTCTGTGTGGGCGTGGGCGCGTCTGCATTGTGAGGAGAAGCCAGAGCTGCCCTGGGGAGCGAGGGGAAGGCCTGCTCCGTCCACGCCCCCGCAGCAGGGCTGTGGTCACCCCGAGGGCCCGGCCTGGGAGCTCCGTGGAGCGCTGGGGGGCCTGGTGTAGCTGAGCGAGGGAGAGGGGCCCCCTCGGGTGTTAGAAAATCTCCAGTCTGGCGGGTCTTGCTCTAGTCACTGGCCGCGGCGGAGCCCGTTAGCGCGGCCCTGCTGTGGCGGGGGGTGGTGTGCGC